TTTTTAATTATAGAAGCTTTAAATATTACAAATGATGAATAAGTAAATAATTTAAATATAAGTTTAAATATATATATATTAATTTATTTATATTAATTTATTTTTATAATAGATAAAAAATAATTAAAATTTATTAAATTTTTTTTTTATTTTTTATAACTATATTATATATTATTATAATTTTTTATAAAACATTTATTTTAGTAACACTGTATATAGAATAAATATTATAAAAAATACAGTTTGTAATTACTTAAATAAACTTTTATTTAATGCTTATTAAATTAATTATTAAGTAAATATTTAAGATTAATAATTAAAGAAGTTTCTAAACAAATATAGGATGTATATATTTATATCACATAATATATAAATTTATATATTATAGATTATATATATTATATAATTTTAAACCGTGGTAAATTTTTATTAAAAATTATCTATTCAATACATATATAATAATGCTATTAATCTAAATATTTTGAATGTTTAGTATGTCTTTGCATAATACCTATATAATAGTCCTGAATTTAAGTATCTGTATTCCCATCATTAAAAAAAATTTAATAAACAATAAAAAATTTTTTTATTATAAAGTATAAGATGAGTTCTAATCATTAATACATAGTAAAATCTCCCTTAAATTTATTAATGCTATAACTTTCTTTTCCATACTATTGATAAGATTTTTAGTTTAACAATATAGCTTATAACTTGATTGATCGTAAATTTTAAAAATAATTTAAGAAGACGAATCTATATATCATGATAATTTTAGCAAAAATATATTCAGGAATTAGCTGATAAGAAAGGTATTGCATTGTTTGGCTTGGATGTATCTACAAATAATCCCAATTTTCCTTTAAATTAATTAGTATAAATAAAGTTTAATATATTTTAATTCTGCACTGATTGAACTAGTTTAATTTAATTAGCTAGATAATATTTATATATTTTCAAAGTACTTAATATAACTTTATATTTTTTACTTTATACAAATTCTTGACATCTTTATAAAATGTTTAATTTATATTCTTTTTTTAATTAAATCAGGAATTTTTTTATCTTATTTTTTAGCTAAGAAAAAACAAGGAGCTTTTTTGGAATTTTCTGTCTCTATTAGATCACTTTTGTAAGAATAGATATTTTTTTTTAGTTTTTGGATGGGTTGGATTTTTTTTGCGCTTGATTATGATTTTAGTTTTTCAATTTTTACATTTTTTAAGTTTTTTTTTATTTTGATCGCTTTAATTTACATCAGCAAATTTTTCTTTAAAATATTTTTTATTTTTTAGGTGGGTTTGATTGCAGTAGATCATAGTGATTTTTTTTACTTTTTTTTTTATTATTATTATAATTTAGCTTCTTTCCAGTGTATTTATTTTATTATTATTATTATTATTTATTTTTTTTATTTTTCCCATTTTTTTAGTTTCATATTTTTATTTTTATGTTATTATTGTTGATATTATATGTCTTTCATTTTCATTTTGGTTATAGGTTTCAGATTTTGATTTTGATTTTATCGCTTTATGATATTAATACCTAAAATAAAGAGAAAAAAAGAGCCAATGTATGAGTAATTACTTAAAACCTGCATTTCACTTCTGCATAACAGAACTATTCCTTGAACTCTTTTACTATTCACAATATACTTTAATTAAATCTAATTACACATTAGTATTAATCCAAGGATGTCTTTAAACAATTAATACATTAAGTGTAAATATGGGTATAAAACTTGCCAAATTGATTCATTATGAAAATCTCCAAGAATCAAGATCTAAAGATAAAATAATTTTTTTGATTAAAGAAACCTAAAACTCTAGAATGATAAATTAAAATACAGAAAAATATATATTTGATCGCGAGAAAATAAAATTAAAATTATTTAAAAAAAAATAAAAGTTAAAAAAAAAAAATACACGTATAACATATATTCAAATTGATCTAAGAAAAGAGAAAATAAATTATTAAAAATGAATAATTTTTTAAAAACTATCAAAAATAAAAATCATACGAAATCATTACAGTACAAAGAGAAAGTTTGAAAAATTATAAAAATTTAAAAATGAGATTAAAAAAAAAATTCATAAAAAAAAAGTATTGCGGAAATCTATGACTGAAGTTTTGAAAAAAAAGAATGCTAAATTGTTATACCAATAAAGAATCTTAATATATTATTTTAGATTTTTTATTTTTTAATATTTTTAATATTTTTTTTTATTATTCTTTTAACCTCATGTAATGAGAAATCATGATTAATAAAATCAATTTTAATTTAAATCATTTTCATTTTTTAAAATAAGGAATGTTAATATTCTTTTATTAATATGCTTTACCTGTTAATTCTGTTTGAAGCTTTTTTCTTTATCATCGTTTGATTTTCTAACATTTTATTAGATATTTAATACATCTAATTCTTTGTATAAAAGTAAATTAGAATAAAATTTATAAAGCACTATTCTTGATAAATTAATAATAAGAATCCAAAAAACATATATTTTTTAAAAAATTTTTTTTATTAGAAAATCTATTTTAGAAACTAGTGAATAAACTATAGTTTATCGGCTAACCAAATATTAACTATTCTTTTAATTAATAGTTAACTAACTTTAGCTGGTTAGCCAAAATTTGTTTAACCAGTTTAAATTTTTAATGACAGTTTCCAATAGAGTGGTAGAAAAAGGATAGATAAATATAAATAAGTTTTTAATGTGTTTTGGATTAACTTTTTTCTTTAGGACTTTTGAAATTTTAATGCAGCGCAATACTTAAAAACTGATAACTTTAGTGAATCAAATATTTTCTAAATAGAAAAGATTACTTTTTTAGTAATTACTTTATCGAACAAAAAAAAATAAAAATAAAATAAAAATAAATATTATGGAATTCTCATTATATATTATTTTTGAAAATTAAACAATGAATTGATAAGGATTTATTATCACAAAATTTTGATTCCATAATTTTGTATATAGTTTTAGAAATTAAAAAACAATAAGTAATTATTATCTTGGAATTCTAACTCCATAGTTATGGTAAATAAAATAAAGATAATTAAAAAAGAGAAAGTCAGATAATTAATTTAATTTACATGTGTAAATATCATTATATTTACCTAATGTCAAATTTATAAAAATATTTTGACTATTATCATGTCTCAATCTGATCATCAAATTGACATTATCAATGAAAGTGAAACAATTCAAAAGTTTTTTTTCTGTTCATTCGTATTCATCAGATACAATCGAAATTCACAAAATAACTAAATTATCAATATCACCAATTTTAACGTATATGTTAACGTATAAACAAGAAATCAAATTTTTTGAGTTATAGAATGTCTTCAGAGCAAATAATTCACTCAATAAAGTTGCTAGAATAACTGTAAATGAGGATATTAGTGACTTTAAGGTATCTGATAAAAAGGATATTATATATAAAGTTGCAAATGATGCTAAATGTGAGGCTTTATTTATCATTTTTAAATAATCATACAAATTTTTAAATGCTGGTTATTTATCTTATTTTTAGTAAAATTATACGATTTGAAAAATCAAAAAGAAATAACAAACAACATTTATAACTGATTTGAATACAACTATACAAAATTTCTTAAGGATGGAGATTTTGTATTATTTAATACTCTCTAAGTTATTAAATATGTACCATTAAATATGAAGCAAACTTGACCTAAAGTTATTTATAAATTCAAGGAAGAAATCAATTATGGCAGTGTTATAAATGATAAGATGTGGTTGACATAATATGATTTTATATTTCTAATGGATTTAATTACTTTTCAATTCCAGATGGTTCCCCTTTTTGTAAGTATAACTTTTTTCTTATGATTATTATAATAATAATAAATTGATAATAATGTTCAATTCATCATTATAAAAAGGAAATGAACCTAAATACTAAACAAATAGACTTTAAATTTTCTGGAAATTTAATTTTAATGAAAGTCAATGATACATATCATATTTATTCCAATAATGTTCCAGTTGGAAAGATTGTGCGAATACAGGTATGATTTCATATCACCTTTAATATGCTTCTGATCCCTTATAATAATATTATTTTATTTAATTTTTGATTAGATGCTCGACAATTTGATTTTTCTGGAAGTAATGATGAACTTATGATTACATTATCAAGTGTTAACATCATCACCATCTTTAGATTTAAGCATAGATACATAGTTAATCGTAAACTCGAGAACCTTGCATTGAATTCAGTGATTGATCCACTTACATCAATTTATTTAATGCGTAATGGGCATTATTATTTAACAAGATGGCCGATCGTGTTATAAGACCAATTTGCGCAGAATTTTCTATGGTCAACAGGAAACACCAGAGAAAGTCTTGGGATGACACCGACGAACAGATTTGCCACCGATAGATTGATTGATGCCGCGTTTCAAATCTGCATAAAAACTCGTCATTATGAATCTTATCATTACAATCTATCAAAAGAAATCTGGAAATGGAATTTGATTATTTAAATGGATACAGTCGACTCTGGATATAACGAACCTGCCGTTCCAGAAGTTTTGGTTCGGTATAAAGTGAGTTCGCTATATGATAATCATGTTTTATACCGAACTGTTCGGTATATAAAATTAACCAATAAAAATACAGGCTCGTGATCACTCCGTAACAATAAAATTTATATTAAAAGTTGGTATTGCTTTGCAAGTTTTTAAAACAGTATTTTATATAAAAAGATTATCACGTTAGCAAAATAATAGATTATCCATAATTTATAGTATAACACTTTTCAATTACACAATCTCATATGCTAAATTTAAATCGCGTGATAGTTCGGTTTATCAAATATATGGCATAATATACATGTTCGGTTAAGATTAGTTCGGATTCGGTATATAACGTTTTATTATATGAATTCGTTATATCCAGCCTGATCAATTATAAAAAAATCGGTTCTGTAACACATGGTTCGGTATAATAAGATTTCGGTATAAGCAGGTTCGTTATATCCAGAGTCGACTGTACA